AGTTTCCAAAAGAAAATAAATACAAGTGACACTGTGCTGGGGGAAAGCTCATTAGTTCGTTGTCCAAGTCTAATAAAAGAACAGAAGTGCAAATTATAGAGTTCAGCTTCAACACACGCTCTGTCAACTAAAATCAACCGAGTGCAGCCTTGATTCAAATAGCTGCGAAGTTGGTCCGCAATTCAAAACCACCTTCCCCCTCCTCCTTTCCACTGCCCACCTCCACCCTCCGCCCAGCCGCAGGGACATTTGGTTGGAAAAATATTGTTCCAAGGAAGGTAATGATAAAGCTTAACATTAGGAAGAGGAGTGCGCAAACTCATTTCCCCATCGGTAATCCCAATAAAAGGAGCGTGGTGCTTCTCTGGGAAGGGCTGGGACAGGGGCTGCGTGTGTGTGGATGAGGAGGGGGGGAGGAGGGACAGGACTCCTGAAATAACATCTTCTTTCCAGCAAGGTAGAAGAAGAAACGGCCCCTTTGTTTTGATAATTAGCTAAGCCCAAACTAGGAAAGCAGATGTGTTTGCTTAGCTAATCATAAGACAAGTTTCTTTCAAAGAACTTCATTGAGCGATGGCAATTCTGAAGGAAGGAGAAGGATTTCATTTTCCTCTCCTTTGCCTCTCACTCCCCTCTATTTTTATTATTATTTTTCCCTGTCCTTCTAATATGATAGAAACGCTTCCGATTACCTAGACGGGAAGAAGGCAAACCCTCTTCATCATAGCACCGGGCTCGCCCCCGGAGCAGCGCAGCCACCTCGGGCTCTCCCTGCTGCACGTTACCAGCCAGATCTGTTGACATTTTACTTGGTGGGGGGGGGGGGTGGGTAGAGAGAGGGGGGAAAAAAAAGAGAAGTGGGAAAAATAAAGTTTTAATGACATGTATGACATATTAAATTAGGCAGTTTTACAATTGGGTTTGAATGCGATGCTAACTGATTACAACTGTGTTATCAAAAGGGTGATAAGATTTATAACTTCGTGAGCACAAGCCTCTCCTCTTAATGACAATAGATGTTCAATAGCAGAAATCTGGTTTCTATTTCCCAAGAAGAGACGCTGTGTGTCTCCGTTGCCCCTTTATTACCGCAGGATTCAAGATCCTCTCTAAAACAGCTTGGCACTTGGAAATCCACAGGCCAGGAATACCTTTATGGTCCCTATTAACTACTGTGTTATTTACACTTTCGCTGGTGCTTCTCACTCAATACCCGTATCACATACGAGGGATAACACAGCCTCTCTCCTTGCCTTTCGCTGGCTGTTTTGGGTTTATATTTTGCATTTCTTTGCTTTACAAAAGGAAAAAAAAGAGGGGAAGGGGGAAAGGAAAAATCCCCCACAGCTCTGTCCCTTACACCCCTCTCCTCCCCAGCTCCCTAAACCAACACATTAAGCAAACTTTAAAAACTGGGTTCCTATTACAAAGCAGCGCCCAGGACTAACTGCTTTAAAATTACTGCATAATTAGATTTAGTTGAATTTCACCATTAATTAGGCAGCCGCACTGCGGGGAGCCTTTGAAATCTGAGAAAATGGGAAAAATCATCTGAAGCACGTTTTTTAAACCCAACTTCAATAAATCCTGACAAGGCCTGCATTTCTCCGTGTATCTCTTTCCATTCTACAAAGCAAAGCGAAGCGAGCGCGATCCCCAGGACCCACTAAAGTTTTAATTAAAAAAAAAAAAAAAAAAAAAGAAGGGAGAGAGAGAGAAAGAAATAAAAATAAAACCCATCTCCATCCCCACACAGACATCCCGCTCGTTATCAAGCGGCGGCTACGAAACATCCCGTTTTCTCATTCCCTTTTTCCTCGCTGTGCCTCCCTTTCCCCCCTTTTCCCCCCATTTTTAATTTTTTTTTTTTCCTTTTTTTTTTTTTTTTTTTTTTTCTTAGCTCCACAGGCGCATCCCCGGGACGCGCGGAGATCCCCGCTATCCCGACCCGCGGGGGTCGGTGTACCTCCCGCCGCACCGCCAACGGGGGGGACTGCTTCCACAGGTCATTGACATGCTGGATGGATACCGGGATCGGGCTGCGGGGGGGAACGCCGCCGCGCCCCGTCCCTTCGCCGTCCCCGTCCCCCAGCCCGGCCGCTCCCCGCCGGCGCCCCCGAAGAAGCTGCCCCCGCGCGGAGCGGGGTGCCGCGGGGCCCCCCCGGCGGCGCGGGGCGGGCGGCGGGGCCGGTGGCCGCCATGTGTTATGGTGAGCTCCATCCCGGACCTCGCCGCCGCCGCCCGCGGACTCTTTTTTTTTTTTTTTTTTTTTTCTTTTTCACGCGTCGCCCGCGCCCGCGCAGCGCTGCGCGCCCCACCGCTCCTCCTCCTCCTCCTCCTCCTCCTTCCTCCTCTTCCTCCTCCTCCTCCTGCTGCTGCTGCTCCTGCTGCTGAACCTCCCACCGCCCCGCCCCCCCGCGCCAGCCGCGGAGCGGCCCACGGGCGAGCCCCGGCGCGGGCTGCGGCGCTGCCGCGCCCCGCACACCACACACACACACTACACACACCCCAACACACGCACACTCACCGATATAGACACACAATTATATCACACACAGCGCACACACCGGGCTGGCACCTGCCCGCGCCGGCGCCTCCTCCAGCCCCCCTTTTGTCTGAACTCTGGGGGAGCCGCCTCCTCCCGCCGCCCCCTCTCGCGCCCGCGGGCCGCCGCCCCCCCCCGGCGGGGCCGGGGGGAGCGTTTTGGGATCTGCGGCGCGGCGAGGGGAGAGGAGCGGAGGAGGAGGAGGAAGGGGAAAGGGGGGGGGTGAAGAAGAACCTTTCCCGAGCTGTGGGTTGCACCGCGGGCGGCTCCGCAGCTCTCGCTGTCGTTCCGGGTCGCCTTTGGGTCTTTCCCCGCCAGTCCCGGTGGCAAGGGTTGTGGGGGGGGAAGGAACAGAGCGAGCTAAGATCAGATTAAAGCAGAAAATATAATAAAAGGGAGGGTTGGCAAGGGGGGAACCGCAAGGAAAAAAAAATAAATTAGAGGCTTAAAGGGAAAGAGTCGCCATGTTTAACAGCTCTTTTTTTTTTTTCCTTTTCTTTAAAAAAAAAAAAAAAAGGATCTCCTCAATTCCACATAGAACAAGCTTCTCGATCCCAACCCTCCTCTTTTGTCCAATTCAATCTTTGGATAGATCTTTTGTTCTAACTCAGCATGAAAAGAAAAACTTTCTTTAAATGCTATAAACTTAAAACTAACTGAAGTCCCTAAACAAATCCTCCTCTGAGCATTCCAAACATATATACATGGGGCTTGTGTGTGTGTGTGTGTGTGCGTGTGTGTGTGTGTGTTTTTATTTAACCCTGGTGCATTTTCTGTTTACTATTATTCTCTGTGAACCAAAGCTCGCTGCGAGAAACTTATAAATACAGAGGTAGCTTACAGGCTTTAAAACATAAAAAGCAGAGAATGTTTTGGATTTGAAAATCATAAATTATAATTTAATGCCAATAACAATTTACAACAAATGGTTGTTTACAATAAACTAACACAAAACAAACAAGTCAAGATCCTGTGTTCTTAGTAAGCATAAAAACTTCACACACACACACTCACATGGATAGCACTTGCAATAGAAAAAGCTAAATCTAGAGGTCAGCAATCCCCTGCAATAATAGTATATTTATATATTTATATATATTTATATATTTATAGAAAAGGAGCCATGATTCAGATGTAAAACTCTGCTCAAATTCACAGTCATACGCCCCTCAGCCCCCAGTACAGATGTGCCTAACTGGAACACACTAAAGATCAGGGTTTAATCGACTTTACAGAATGATCTCTCTCCCTCCCTCTCTCTCTTTTTGTGAAACCACAACATGGTGTAGTTACGTGTGGTAAAAAGGGAGAGGGGAAAGCCTCAGACAAGAACAAAATTGCAAGCTTTCACATACAAAGCATCTGCTATAGACCAAGGGGAGGGCGGGCGGGGGGAGAGAGAAAGAAAAGAAAAAAAAAAAAAATGACACGCACACACAAAAAACAAAATATCAACCCCTTGCAAAACCACATCATCTTGCCTTCCTTCAGATTTGGGTTTTTGGGTGGGTTTTTTTTTGTTTGTTTGTTTGTCTGTTTGTTTTTTGTGTTTTTTTTGCCTGCACGGGATAGCACTCAATTCCCCAGTGGTGTGTCCCGTCCTGTGCCACCCGGCCAGGCAGGTCCCACTCCCGGTGGGAGCTGTGCCTGTGCCAGGGCTGCAGGACAGGGCCCTGTGCCTACACAGGGAAGATGCATGTACGCCCACGCGTGTATGGATGCCAGGATACACACAGACATGTAGCCCATATGTAAAATAGAGAGATGACCTGTGGTCATGCTTTCACAGTCTAAGGTAAAAAAAAAAAAAAAAAAAAAAAAAAAAAATCAAATCCACTTGAGAGTATATATACATTAAAAACCGACTCCTCAGTGCTAGAAGCTAAAGCCACTCCATTTGAAGACCTTTCAATGACAACGATAGATGGCAACTACGGAGTATTATAAAAAATCACACATACTTAAAGAAAACTCATTGCAAACAACTGACCTATATTTACAATACTGCTATTACCTTGCTTGAATGATCTTGTGCGTGTATGTCAGACATTTACAAAAGATTTTTCGCCCCATTCTGATCATAAAATAGATACTGATCTCCAGATTTCTAATACTTTTTCACAACAATACCTTTCCTACGCAGGCACTTAAGTGTGACAAAAATAAGGGCCTTTTTTTTTTTTTTCCAGAAAATCCATTTTTAAATAACAGGAGGATTAGATGAATGGGGGTTGATGGTTTACCATTTCAGCATAGTACTTCCTAAAACCAGAGATAAACCAAGAACTTAAGTCCTCCACCCCCATCCCGGAATTAAACAGGTAAATACACTACAATACATCTGCTACAAACTTACTGTGACAAGTAAACAAATCAATCGCCTATGGACTTAAATGACTGCAAACTATAGAGAAGTAAGGTGGTTTCTGAAAGACATTTATGACAGCCAAACAAGTTTCAGATATCAAATAATATTTTAATTTCTGAATACTTTCAATTTTCCTTGGAATATAACACACAAAGACTCGACCAAACAGTTCAGTTATTATAACTTTTACAGTATACAGAAATGTTGCACTTAAAAAAAAAAACCTTCAGTTTTTTTAAACACAAAACTGTAAACTCTAAGATACTGAATCAATCACGTTATCTATAAGTGCCAACAGTGTTATTTTGTCATGCTGATTTCAATGGTATTTTTTAAAAAGGGAAAATATCAACAATTATTATAATACAAAGGGCTTGCAAATATACAAACAGATAGAGGAGTTTAATAACAATTCATGATGAACTATGTGGAACCCAATTCAAATTACAAAAGTTCACTTTGCTTGTTTGCTTGTTTTTTTTTTTTTAAATCAAAACCGTAGTGTGTCTTGGACACAAAATCCTTCTACCTATAATAAGTCCCCACAGTTCATTTTCTGTCCGAAATATCAAAAAAACCTAGATTTGGGGGGAGTTATGTGACACGTGTGGTTCATTCGGGTCTATATAATTATAGCTCTCTCAGCTTCAAGCTAGATTTTGGGTCACCACCTTAAGTGCGCTTCCATCATTGTGTTGTTGAGGGGTTTTTTTCTCTTTTCCTTTCTTCCTATGATACTTTCGTGGACTCAGTTTTAATTCTTTCAGAACATATATTTTAAGGATACACAGTTTATTTTTTTTTTTTTAAAGAAGCCAAGGTTATATCAAAAATTATTATAGAACCACAGAATAAACTGGTTTGAAACCAGAAAAATACAAAAAAGAACAGCTATAGGTACATAGACACATAGGACAATTAATAATTTGGAAAAAAAAGACTTACTTTCTTCCGTTCTGCTAATTTTCTCCAAATTTCCTTTAAATGCACTTTAAGCGAGATTTTTTTAAAAAGTTTACCCCAAAAAAAGAAAAAAAAAGAAGAAAAAAGAAAAAAAGAAAAAGCCCACCATCGTTTCTTTTCTTCTTCTTTCTTTTTTTCTTTCCCTCTTTTTTATTTTTTACAAAAAAAATGATAAGTAGCAAGTTTTTTTTCTGAACGACACGGGAGTTTTTAATGCATTCTGTAAAAGTTCATTTGACAGTCTCTTTTTTTAATTCACAGTCCATTAATTTTTTCCTGTCTTCTCTTAGCAAACTTGTAACATCCTTTTACATCCTTTCTTAGCAGAAGGAAATTTAAGAAACAACCAGAACCCAAATGTCATTTGCTTTCCTTTCACTCTCATCTCCCTTCTCAATTTTTAGATTTTTTTTTTTAAGATTCTTTTTTTTTTCTCTCTCTCTCTCTCTCTCTCTCTTTCGAATGTTTTATTGAATGGACATGTAAGGCCAGTTAAAACTGCTGCCAGACAGTAACATATCCCTGATTAGGGTTTCTATGGGGGTTTTACCTACCAAACGGACGAAAAACAATTGCTCTATGACAGAAGAGGAGACAGTGCGAAGGGAGGGGAGACGTAGTAATAGCTTCCCGAATCGTGTTGGCTGGTTGGGATACTGGCTCCTAACATACTCTTCCAAAGCACACTGTGACTTCTCCTGTAAACTTTCAACATGGGCTACATCAGAGAGACCACAGGCATCTAGAAGAAAGTGTATTAAAAAAAAAAAAAAAAAAAAAAAAAAAGAAAGAAAAGAAAAAAAAAAAAGAAAGCAATCATCAGATTAAAAAGGTTTTGTTTTTGTTTTTTAAATTTTTTAAATTTGATTTTCTTCTTAATTCCTACAATTAAGTGTCGATCGTGTGCCATCACCTCGCCCCCCAGAGTTTAAGTGGGTTTTACCAAAAGGGACAATCTCTCTGTGCATGTGTATGTGTTTGTATTTCTCTCTCTTCTGGAGGGTCTCCTTTAGGATTGAGCACAGCTCCCAGAGTCGAGATTTCTAATGGCACAACAGACCTGAGGGGTTGGCAAGGAGGTGCTGGCCAAGCTTAATTTTGTATATCTATATTTTTCAGGGGAAAGGCTGGGGGGGCGGGGAAGGCTTTGAGTCGAAAGGGGGGAAAGGGAGCCACTATTTCTCCACACCCCCCCTCCTTGGAAAATAATTGGGGAGAGCCTAACCCTGCAATGAGAAGCGATACTACTCATAGTGATAGAAATCATAATAATAATAAAAAACTGGCCCAGCCAAAGATAATGGCGCCCCGGATCCAGCAACAGATTCTCCCCCAAAGAAGACAACGCGTTTTTCTTCAGTCTTTGAAACTGATTTAAGTGGCCCTTTAAAACTGATCTTGTCAGTTTAGCCTATTCAGAGGCAGCCATGCAAACTGTGATCTCTCTGTTCATTTGAGCTGTTTCTTTTCCCCCCTCTTTTCTTTTCTCTTTCTTTCTTCCCCCCCCTCCCCTCCCCCCTCTTTTTTTTTTTTTTTCCTCTTCTTCTTCTTTTTAAACCTAAAGGCCCTTACAAGAAGAAAACTCCCTGATAGGGTCTGGACATTTTTTTTCTCTTTTTTTTTTTTTTCCTGATACGCTAAAATACAATAAGTTCCCTTTAAATCAGAGACGTCTGTGCTGAAAGAGTACAGGTTGTGACCTGACCTCCCTGTGGCTTTCCTAGGCACAGGGCTAACACATGCATATTCTGCGAGTCATTAGAACCCAGATTTTTTTACCCCCCCTCTTAAAAGAGGCTGCAGCAAACATTATATGCATCTATGTGTGTCTGCTTTACATCAGGGGAGGTTATTGGGGTGCTGCAGAAGCTGCAAGCATCACCCTATATTTTTTTGCATGCGACTATCTTCCCCAGAATCAGATAACAAGAAACGTTTATCTAGTTGGGAGGCAATTTACACGCCAGGCCTCACATTTTGAAAATAGTCATAAATTAAACAGTTACGACAGGATCGGACGATTGTTTTCTCAGAAGGCTAAAAAAAAAAAAAAAAAAAAAAAAAAAAAGTGATTTGGGAGAAAAGGCAGGATTGGAAATAAACTCCTCGGTGTGGGTGTGAGCTGGGCAAGGGCTGGGGAGGGATGTGAGCGTGTGTGGGATCCTCACTGAGTGAGGGAGAGGAAAATGCATCCTAGAAAAACGATAGAAAAATAAAAGAAGCACCCCACGGACACCCCTTCCCACTCGGGATCCCTGTCTCCCTGTGGCTAGATGCGCCCTGCTCATTGATCACCTAAGGATTTAGCACGAGTAATTTGGGGGGGAGGGAAAAAAAAAAGAGGAGAAGTTTTTTATGTGTAAAGCAATAATATATAAAAGGAAGTTTAGGTCACGACCCAGAACCTGGACAAAGTCCAGAAAATGACTTCGTTCCCCAGACCCCCTTTAACACAACAAGGAACGGATTGTGAGCCCTTCTTTTCCCACATAAACTACATTTTTTTCCTGTTTCCTGATATCAGGCTTTAAAAAACTCCGATGAGTAATTATTTTACAGGTCCTGCTTCCATTCATATGTTTATCGCGTGGCCACTTTCCCAAGCGTCCAAATGAGTTACAGACGAAATATATGTATTTTTAAACTTAATCCCCAAACTTCGAAGGCTCCAGCACACTGGGTTGCCGATGCAGCCTTAAAGTTAGCGATCTGAGATAACGTAGTGCACAAATTAGCGAGCAGATTTTTTTTTTTTCCCCTCAGAAGAAAAAAAAAAAAATTTAGCCTCCAGAGTTAATATCAGGATTATTACTCACCCAGGTTAAACTCTAGTGCAAGCTAATTAGATTTCACAACGCACTCAATTATTGCTTTATAACTCATGCACTATTTCTAGGCAGCAAAAGTTGACACATATTTCCCCCCCCTCCCCTCTTTGATTATCTAAGAAACACCTCGAGGTCTTTTCCTCGGGAGAGGCATGGTTGTGCCACCCCGGAATTACACTGCGGAGCGGCAGCTTCAGCCTCCTCTTACTTTTCCATACTATCCCTGTCTACTTATGGTAATGATCTTTTCGCACCCGCTACTCGCTTTGGACTATGCAGTTCCTGCTGGGTACAAATGCAAACTTTTCCCCTTAGCTTAAATGACACAGAACTGCTCACTGCCACATTCTGTTTAAATCAGAGACAGCTCTTTGGAAAGTTGATTTATTTTATTTTATGGAATGGCAGGGAACATATTTTAAACTCAGCTTTGTGCATTTCACTTTTTTTTTTTTTTTTTAATTCAATTTTTAATCCTGCAGGGCTTTTTTCCCTTCCTGGCTGCCCATAAAATGATCCTCTTTTTAAAGTGGTTTCACTGATAGGATGACTTGTATTTAACAACATCAAACAGATTTTGCTGCTGTTCAGATGCGTGTCATTAAATGCAACAACCCAGAGCTATACTGTTAAATAAAATATTATTTTCAATGGGAAGAGCGCAGTCTCTCGTGGCGAATGGGTGCCTCTTCCCGGGCCCCTTCTTCCCCAGTCTCCAGCATTATTCAGCTAGGGTTGGGGTGCATTTTTCTATTTTGGTTGTCCTTTTTTTTTTTTTTTTTTTTTTAGTTTTGTGTGTGTGTGTGTATTTTATTTTTATTTTATTTTTTTCTAATTTGCACTCCCTGGAAGACGGGATGCTCGGATCCGAGGCCCTGAAGGGGAGACCACAGGGCACTGCTTCCTAAAAGGAAAGAGACCGCGCTGGTTTCTCGGGGGGTCAGGGAAGCAGTGATGGGGTGCAGGCAATAACACTTTGCAAGAGCAAACAGTTCTCAAGGGGGGCCCGGGGAAGGAAAAAAAAAAGGAGCAAAGAAATGCCGCCTACCTGAGGTGAAGAGGACTATGGCCTTTAAACAGCTATATTCTGCAGAGTCGACATGCAATGCTTTCAGTTTTTCTACTTGCTCTTGGAAGATTCGTATGTGGTCCATAAAGGCGACCACTCGGTCAGCAGACATTGGCGAAGCGTGGAGGCCAGCAGCTGCCAGGAGCGGAGCTACGTGGAGGGGCATGGAGCACTGGGCAGCGTTGAGGACAAATAACTCGCTCCAGGTCAGCCTCAGGAGGGCCACCTGGTCTGTGATCTGGAGGTCTGGGAAGAAGGGGATATTCCTGGCCCACTCCACCGCGCTGAAGAGCATCCTAGCTGCCAGTTCACAAATGTTCTCGATGCCCATGATGTTGTTGGGTTGCATGCACTGACTGCCAAAGCGGGAGGTGGGGTAGGGCTCTGCTCTCAGAAGAAGGGAGATATATCCGGATAGGTAGGAATGGCAGTTGAGAGGGTCCCCATTTGTCAAGGCGAACTGACCATGAGTTGGCTGTGTGGGTGGCATTCTGCCCCTCTGGACCGCTGCAGTAAATAGAGAAGAAACTACAGCTATTAATATCTGAATTGCAACCATCGGTTCAAATACAGCCTGCTTTGTGTGCTTCTGCGTGCCTGTGTGACCCCGGACCCGGCCAGCTTCAGGGGGAACATGCATTTTCCCAGCCAGAGTTCAGCCCCAGCCCCGGTTAAATGCTCCGCAGTTCTCGGGTCAAGTCAAAGCAACAATAAAAGCTGAGGAACGCTGTGAGCTCGGCCAGGGCTGCTGCGGGAGCCCAGCTTCTCACTTCCCAAAACACACCACAATCCAGTTATTTCCCCCCTCCCCTCCACCGCCACCCCCTCCTTCAAGAGATGCAGGATACGTCTTTGTGTGCCCGGGTGTTTTTTCTTCATTACACCTAAAACAGCTCATTGATTTGAGGCTGGGGGAGCGGGATGGGGAGGGAGGAGGGGAGAGGGAAGAAACACTTCAGTTCGAAATCCCCGGCTCTGGTCCCACACGCGTTTCTCGCCCACTGAATACATTGTTGCTGCTGTTATTATGTATCCCCCCCGCTCATAAAAAATACCAAAGGAGGCGAAATCACCCCACAACATCCCCGGCAGGTCCCCTGGTGAGGCTGAGGGCATTATCCAAAGGCACCTTCCCCCGCTGCCCATGGAAAGTGGGCCTTTCATTTTGTTAATAAATTTACACGGTGACAGCGAGAGAAAAAGGAGAGAGAAAAAGGGCTCAGAGGCAGAGAGACGACAAGAAGGGAGAACGCCTAAAAATGTGCTTGATTTATATTTGTTATCGCCCGTATTCCAAGGTTAGTTACTCTTGCAGAAACACAAAGAGAGGAGCCCAGCGAGTCCCAAGCCCCCTCACCCTTAACCTACATAGCAGCGTCCAGACACAGAGCACGCACTGGAAAACTGCAGGCTCACATTTCCCGTCTAATTTTATATCACAAAGACTCCACTTGCAGAGACCCGAGCACCCCACACTTACTTCTGGGCTGCTCCTTCCCCCCCACCCCATCCCTTCTACCCCCTCCTGCCTCTCCCGGAGGAACAAGAAAATAAGAGGAAGAAGAGAAAAGTGAGGTAATAACAACCAGGAAAGGCAGGCACACGGCAGCATGTATATACACACACACACACGCGGAGATGTGTGTGTATATATATTTTTAAAGGAGGAAAAATCCGGCTGGGAATCCACAGTGGAGTGCTGTAGAGCCTCGGTAGGGTGAGTCCCATTGTAATAGTAATTTGAACCGCCTGTGTAAAATTGCAATCTAAGGCAGGGTGCTGGAGGATATATATATATGTGTGTGTGTGCATCTCGGGAGGCTCCGTGTGTGTGTACGTACACACATGGACAGACACACACACAGAGCTGCTCGGGGGACAGGGGCTAAGGCTGAGCATGCAGGAGGAAACACGAAGGAAAAGTAACCACACGTCAGAATCATCATCTCGCTCCTAAGCAGCGTGAAACTAAAAATCCACTTTCAATAAACCTCCATCAGCAAAATCAAAACAAACACAAATCAATTACGAGTGCAGGAGAAAGCATGCGAGAGCCCCTGACTCCCTGCCCACCCTCCCCAACACCGCTTTCTTTCATTACGAGAAAGTTTCTGGCTGGTTTATTCGAGGGGGGTGGGTAAGGGGGAGGAAAGGTTCTGGTTGGGTTTGGGTAGGGAGGTTAAAAATAATAATAATAATAATATTTAAAAATTTAAAAAAAAGAAAAAGCAAACAAACCCCAAAACGCAGCGAGTGAAAAAAAATTTGCAAAACAAATGAAATCCCAATACCTTCCCGTCTCATGCCAACTTTGAGGCATTTTTTGAGGCGGCAGTACTGACACTGATTGCGGTGGTGCTGGTCAATGGGACAGTTCCTGTTGGCACGACAAGTGTAGCTGAGATTCCTCCTTACACTCCGCTTGAAGAAACTCTTGCAACCCTCGCAGGTAAACTGGCCATAATGTTTGCCACTAGACTTGTCCCCACAAACCACACATTCAATGTGCTGCTGCTGCTGCTGCTTGTCTCCTTGGTTCTGCTGGCTCGGCGGGTTGGTCTGGGCTGGCGTACTGGGAGGGCCCCCGGGCCCCGGGGTCTGTGGGGTGTGCGGGGTCCCGGCCGGGGGTCCCTGCACCGGCGGGGCTTGCGAAGGCTGCGTTCCCTGAGCTCCGGGCACATCGTCCTGGGGGTCTCGCCACGCACCGACTACCATTGCCATATCTATTGGACACCGTTGCCAAACTTCCTGTTCCCCCTTTATTTTCAAAGTTTGTTTGCTTTGCTTTTCAGATCAGCTTTGCAGCAGTCTTTTTATTTTTTGTCCTCCCCTCTCTCTCTCTCTCTTTCCCCCTCTCTCTTTTGTTGTTTTGCCTCTTTTTTTTTTTTTTTTT